AATTGGGATTTCTCAGTTTTTAGGTTCTTTTTTGTCTTTATTTTCCTAAAAGTTAAATTATACGTCTTCATATTTGATGTTATTTTTATGTATAACTAGAATGCTTTGGGGAGGAAAAAAAAAAAAGAACATTTATTTTGATCACAGAAGCGGAAAAGTGGGTGACCTGCCAAGGGATAGCCGTCTTTGTGCGTTTGTCATCCATGGGTTGGCCTACCTTTGTGATTCCCATTATTATTAGTTGGGAAATTATCGGATATTTTCGAATCATCATATCGTTCATATTTTCAATATAGATAACTTAAAATCAAATAAATTAACGTATTTATATATCTCTTCCTTCTTCTTTTTTATACCAAAGACGTGTTTATATTTCAGTGTACTAATCTTTCAAATTTAAACAATCTATCTTTCAACCCAATATTTCAATGTACATTATAAGTTATTTTATAAATTATAACATTCATAAATCAATTATAAAAAAGTACATTTCTTAAATTCTATCCAATGAACAGTGCACAGAGTCTGATTATTATCAGAGATAAAATCAATGATAGCTTTCCCAAAACTTGGTCAAGTGTGTACGTCTTGGTCTGCTCACCTCACAAATCTTTTTCCCAATATAATGTTTATTTAATTTGATGCAAATAATACCACATGCACATGGACCCACGAATTGAATTCTTAATTGCGTACTTTCATTTTATATTTTTTTAATAAATATCAAGTTAAATTCCAAAATCTTGTTAAATTTGAAGAGTTTGGAAACCTTTAAAATACTTTTATATAAGTCAAGATAAAATTTTTTTTATACATTTATTTTAGATATTGTAAAATTACTTTTAAAAAGTTAATTCAAACACCTCAGAGTAGATGCAAATCAACAAATAAATTAATCTACTAATAAAATCAGTACTATCTATTGTACCCAAAAAAAAAAATCTACCGTGGATTTTAACTCATGAGTGCCTTGGAGGATCATGCATGAATTTGTGAATATAAAGTTAAGTAGGCAATAAATACTTTTGCTCTACTTCCATGATCCTCTTCATCATAACCATTAAATCCAATTTTACGGATTTTTATTTAACATTTTTATAAACTTATTATTCAACAGGAAAAGATGAAAAATAATTAAATAAATCTGAACTATTAATTAACATGAGTAGTTGAGATAAAGAAAAATAAAAAAAATATTATATTTAAACCAAGGCTGTTTATACTGTTCCATTATGATCCTGTTCTAATCGGGATGGGACAAAAGTAGGACAAAACAAGATAGAAACTTGGATAGGATAGGACACGGGATGGCCTTCTCCCGTCCCAAGATATATATATTTATATATTTTTTAAAATTTCTGTTATAGATTATTTTTATTTATCTATTCTAACAATATAAAAAAATAAATATCAAGTTTAAAAAAGTAAATAGAAGTCACATCTTTAAATAAGTTTTTTACTTTGATATTTAAAAAAAGAAAAAAATGTTTTTAAACATGTGATTTAAACAAGTTTTAATCTATATGATATGATAATATGTATTTTTGTCAACATATGTTCAGACTTAATTGAAATTAAGGATAATAGTCTCCACATGTAACATTTACTTTGAGAAATTTTGAAACACGGAAAAGAAGAACAAGTTTAAGTAATCCATCTCTACTTGTCAAAACTTAAAAATAGGATGATTATTTTGCTAACTAAATCAAGTATTCACTACTATTATTTAATTACATATTATTTGGATACTTAAAACTATATTTAGAAGGGAATAGGACTTTGGTTAATTACTTTTTGTACAAAAAAAATTAAAATGAAAACGACGATGCGATTTTTTTATTAAAAAAAAAAAAAAGACTCACAAGATGTCTCCATTCCCATCCTGTGAGGACCCTTGCTTTAAACCACTCAAAATTTGATTTAATGTTAAGACTAGAAAGAAATAGAGAAAATAAAGAGAAACCACTTGGCTCTCCTCTTTTTTTTTTCCTTCTTTTTTTTGAAATCTTCAGATATAAATGAATATTTTAAAATAAAAACAATGGCATTAGTAATTGATCTGGATAAATTAGATTTACCAATAATATTTACTCGTCTTCAAAGCTCAATAACATACTCCTTTGGCCCTATTTATAAAATACTTTCAGCATATTTCACACATATTAAAGAAAATCTTAAATTTTATCAACTCTCGTTTAAAATTTAATAAGTTTATAACTTTATTTTTATTTAATATACATTACATCTTATGTACACAAAGTCAACATGATAATAAATGAGGAGTAAAATTATATATCTATACAAAAATTTCTCTCACTATCCTATAAATATGACTAAAAAATATTTTTTCTCTTTATCTTATAAATAAGACCAAATAAAATAAAGACCAGAAGTGTAATGGACGAAGAACAACATCTTTGAAAAACGGGCGTCTCATGATGAATATATTAATTTATTAATTAAAATTAACACAAGAGATTATATTTATATTTGTCAGTGTCAGTGGCGACAAAAGTCAGTGTCTATGCAATAATTATGTTTCTTAACAGTTCTAAAAATACAATAAGAGAAAATGATTGATGAGGACATAAAGGTAATTGAAAAGGAAGAAGTCATGAGTGAATATGCTGCCTCTTTTTTGTTTGTGGCCATGAGCCCCAAAACCAGACGTTTGGATTATTTGATTCCCTCCCTGCCAAATTCCAAACAAGGCTTCGCAATTCTTACTATAATTCTTTTTAATATTACCATCTGATGAGGGCAAATTTAAATATTGTCGAATTCAATTAAAAATAATTGTTTTAAAAGTATTTTATGTATTCATACAAATTTGAATTCGAGATCTCGTATTTAACTATTCTGAACCTTTTCTGTTGTTAAGACTAACGACTTGCTAATTAATTCATGTTAGGATTATTATCAGAAATCTTCCTTTCACTTTTTTAGGCTTATTTGCTTATCCATTTTATATATTGCGCTCAATTATTAGTGCCACACTGTTTTTTTTAACTGTTCTCTGATGATTTTATAAAACAATAATAATTGCTGAAAGAGTCGTTGCTTGAGGATGACTGGGCCCCCTTGATGGGATATAGAATGTGTCCCATTTATATTTATGCATACGCATATAATTGAATATAGGAGATGTTTGGATAGAAACCAAATCATGATTTTAAAAGTGTTTTTACAGTTTACGAAGTAAATATGTGGAGGAATTTGTCTCGTTTTGCGAAAAAGTGCTTCTGAAATCATGATTTGGAGGTTGTCAAACACTCTCATAATGTATGTAAAGAGGTTTTCTTAATTAAAAGGAATGAGATTAATATCTTTTGATATTTTTACTTTTACTTTGTGCTGAGGGATATGGGGAGAGGGGAGCGCTTCATCTTTTAGGCGGCGGTTTCAAGCTTCAAGTTTCCTTCAGAACAATTTGAAATTTGGGCCCATACATCATGAAGTTGGACTTTGATGGTTTGAGCCTAATAAATGGCTCCTTCTCACCAGTTGGAGGCCACTTGATAAGACCAAAGAAGCATGTTATATAAGAATGTCTCTCTTTAATTAGTGCTGCTTTAATATTTTATAAACATAATTCCAATCTCTTGAGTATTTACCCATGCGGGGGTTGATTTTATATACACTAAAGTGTCTTTTTCTTTTACCCTTACAAGAGATGTACACAATGTTAAAAGTGGGGGAAAAAGTTAAAAAAGTAAAAAGATAGTTCAAATTCAAATATTGACTCTTGACTCGATGATCCTAAATACATGACCTAAATAATTGATTTACAAAAATTAATAAAATCTAGTTACTTATTCGTAAAATAAGTGCCTAAAATACTTATTTAATTATTTATTATTAAAAAATGCCTCAATAGTAGAATTCTCTGTTTAGGAAGAAAATTATAGATTTAGAAGATTGAACGAAATGATGTATTATCCGACTCTCTCGGTTAACTTTTAGATTTATGATTTGAAGGATTGAGATTTTTTGTTTGGTAAAAGAGAGGAAAGTTAAAAATTAGGGTAAGTAAATATAATTTCCTAATTTTTTTTAAAATTAATCTAAAGCACATCAATTGCACGGTAATTTAAATGACTTCAAAATTTTCGCTGCCTCCTCAGAGTACTACATCCACACACACCCTTTGGATATACTCCTGCACCAATGTTCACATATAGATACCCAGCCATATTCAGATAATTCTGGCTGTTCAATTCCCAGAATAATCTTATATTCCAGCCAACTTGATTCTTACTTTGAAGAGCCATGACTTGTCACTCTCATGGTAGCAGAGTCCCTCTGTCACTGTCATGATTCAGGCATAATTAACAGCAGCAAGATACTGGACTTAGTTGAAAGCTCCAGCATAATCCCTACTAGAACGGAATTGATTGTTTGGTCGAATTCATCTACTATATATACACAATTTATGGTGAATCCTAAAAGCTAAAGCCAGTGGCTGCATGTGCCTCTCTTCTCTATATTTTAGTTATAAAAAAAAATGGAAAGAACTGGAAGGAATAAGACGGCTCTGGTTAACCATTTGGCACATCCACCCAACTACAACCGGGAATTTTCATCAAACCTTTCTGTTTCATAACTACTCTCAAGTTATTGGCATCATCACTTGAACCAGAAAGCGAAAGAATATTAGCAGTAATTACATAGTTTGGCCCTATTTCAGGCTCCAATTTAGAGAGAAGCCTATCATCCAAACTAGGGAAACAACCGTGATTTTGGCAAGAGGCAAGGAAACTCCTTAATATGACATCATTAGGCTCCACCGGCATGTTCTTGATGACATCATAAGCTTCTCCTATCAAGCCTGCTCTTCCTAGCAAATCAACCATGCATCCATAATGCTCAATGGACGGCTTTATGTTGTACAAAGAAACCATTCATCAAAATACTTCTTGCCCTCATAAACAAGTCCCATGTGGCTGCAAGCTGATAGAATCACCGAAAAGATAGACTATCAGGTTGAATTCCTATATCTTTCATCTGGCTGAACAGAGAAAAAGCATCCTGTGACGTCCATGATTTGCAAGAGCAGATATCATGCTTGTCCATGACAGCAAGTTCTTTTCATGCATTGAATTGAAAATTTGAAGGGCTTTTTCGATTAGTCCGCACTTTGAATACATCTCAAACAGGGCTGTACCCAAAGCAACATCCAGTTCAATGTGATTCCTGATGATATAGGAATGAATGGACTTCCCTGCACAGATATTGAGCAGATGGGTACAAGCGGAAAGCAAACTAACCAAGGTGATTGCGTTGGGCTTTACATTGGATATCCTCATCTCTTGAAATACATTCAGTGCAACTGAAGGAGAGTTGCTGCAAACAGATAGATATGAATGAGTGGATAAATACACTACTTCAAGAAATGACTAATAAGGCCCAACAGCAAAAAAGCTATTACTGGCTCTGTTTGATAATTAGAGATTATCAAAATTACTGCACATATGTCAACAACCTTTGTTATTATGACATGAAAAATTCTTAGTTGAGAACTAGGAGGAGCTTCCACATTAATTATAAGAAGGTACGAGTTAATATAAAAATCTAAAATTTTTTTCCTTCTATCCCATCTCTTTTTCAAAACCCCAACTTTTAACCAAAATAATGGCATGTGGCATGACCAATGTTTCATTTTCCAGACACTTTGAAACCTATTTATAAAATGTTTGAATTTAACAAATACACTATTTAAAAGTTTATGCTGCGTGTGTCATTTATAATATAAAAATATTAGTTTATATATACATCTGATGATCAATATTTTATGCTCCCTCTGTTTCATAGTACAAGGCATTTTTACTTGAAGTGCGCTCGGCAAAGAAGCAGTGATTAGTTAGGAGCCCATTTTTCAACTTTGTCCTTCTTTAATATGAATCATTAATTATTTGTTTCTAAGGATTACCTTTTTTCTAGGCAAGTAATTTTGATATACTTGGGTCATTTTAGGTAGGAAGATATTAATTGCCCTTAAAATTTTGTAAAATGTCTTGCATATTGAAATATGAGACTTTCCAAAGAATGCCTTAAAGTATGAAATGGAGGGGAGTGTGTTTTCATAATTCAAGTGGATGGGAAACTAAAACATCTCTGTAGCAAATGGCACCTTAGTTTAATTCATCTATATTTATTAAAACGCAAGTTACATGTAAAAAAGAGGTCATTGTGATACATCATTAGCTTGCTTATGCATATCATTCTTCAGCCCTTCCGCTGATTTAGCTCATAGAAGTATACTTGGCTGACTTTTATGGGACAAAAAGAAAACTACTACGGTCGTTAATTTATTAATATGGCAATGAGGAAACTTCATTCTAACATTTAACCAGTAATGTTTGAGACATTTGAACCAAGAATAAACATAGTCTGGAAATTTAATTAGGTTGAATTCAAAGTATTCTCAAAGAGAGTTTCCGTATTGGCTTCACATTTAAAACAAAAACAAAAAAAAAAAGCAACCGTGAGAGCATTGGAACACATGCTTACATGGCCATAAGAGGGAAAAATGCCATCAATAAGATGCTGATTATGTACATCAAATCAAACAACTAAATTTAATGAGCCTTAAACTTATAAAGAAACTTGTCAGTGGGATAATGAGTATGGCCAGTAGACATGACATGCAAACAGCATAGTCAAAGAAACATGAGAATGTAGTAGACGCTAATTTATGAAGAATCCAGCGACTATTAGAATCATTAGAAAGGTGCTAAAAATCACATGAACGAAAAACTATCCTGAAAAAATCAGATCTCCAATATTTGAATCAATAACTGAAATGTACAAAATTAGAGCATCACATAAAGAGGATAAACAAAGAGGCCAAAGAAGATCAATTGATAGTGATAATTGAACATCATAATTAAAATAGCACCCCTCCCAGCCAGAAAACGCCTCCAAGAAAACAAACACCAAAGTGATGGTTGAGATTCAAAGCAAAGAATAAAGGATGTAATCTCATAAGACACAAAGATAACTTTCCAAAGTTTTTCATGGAAGATACTGATCGCAACTCAGGCATCCGACTACTATGATGAAGAGCATATTTTTCTTTCAATCAGGTACGATAAAGTTCGTAACTGATTCATTACTAGGGCAATGTTCTTAGATTCCAGTGGCAGAGTAAGAAGTTGGAGAGGCAAAGAAAAGAGAGTAGGTTTGCACCCACTCGAGGCCACTCAAAACACGACCTAATACTGAGTTATTGACCAAAACAAGAAAACCACCTGAACTGCATAGAACTCTGAAAAAGCCACGAGAGACAATGAAACAAGCTTAATTAAACTAAAGTAAGAGAATTCCTAATATATATTTATTATTCCCTTAATTAAAGAAACAATTGGAAAATAAAACAGCAAGTACAAAAATGAGTAATAACCCCAGTAGAGACCGGTACGATTCAATTCAACATTTTGTTCGTTTGGGTTTGATTGTATCGTACCTCTATAATTCGGATTAGGTTTATCGTTGGATTATCCAAGAGAAAGAAATATAGAAACCCTGTGAACAATTTATATCAACAGAATGCTGACTGCCGACTGACTAAAAACACATGCTTGTTACTCATACAACACGCTTATTACTTCTAAACATCTCCCAACCGGGCCACACGATGCACATTCTCGCAAACTACTTATTCATTCCAACAAACTATATGCTTTAAGCAAATGAAAGGTTCACCAACTAACCAGGCGATATATGCAGCAATCATTGAACTCCATGACACAACATCTCTAACAGACATTTCATCAAGCGCCTGTCTTGCAGACTCAACGTAGCCACAGTCTACATACATCTTCAACAAGGTATTGCCTATATACCGATCCGAATCAAAAGCGGTCTTCAAAGTCAAGCAATGCACCATCCCACCTTGCCGAACCAATGAGCAGCGGCCACAAGCTTTAAGGACGAAAGGATACGTAAAATTGTCCGGTTGAAGACCAAAACTTCGCAACCGACAAAAGAGCTTGACAGATTCAACTGGAGTTGAACTCTTTGCAAATGCTTTGATGATGGTATTCCAAGCAAAAATTGGAGGAACAATGGGTATGTTATCGAAAACCAATTTGGCACAATTTACAGATATGGAGCATGCGGATAAGACAATCTGGCTCACCAAGTCGTTATCATGATCGAGCGCGGATTTTAGGAGGATAGAGTGAAGTTGAAGGAGATGAGAAACACTTTGGGTTTGTGGGATGAGGGTCTGGATTCGGCCGAATACCATATTACCATGGCGAAACATAACCAACAAGGATCCGGACACACCTGACGGTGGAAAATATGAAAATGAGTGAATCACGATAACCTATAAAGTCCATAAGTCAATATATTTTCATTTATAAATTACAATTCATTTCAAATTCTCTATAATACAAAATTTTTATGCCTAAGTGCGCAACTTTTTTTTCCTGCCAGCGCGCAAGTGTGTAAACTAATATAGGAAAAAAATTATAGAGATTTTGATTTGGTTAGAGACAATAAGGGACCACGATAGGGTGATTTCTTTTTCTTTCTTCTTTTTTTTTAATACTTATCCCAAATACATATATTTCCCCTTTATAATCTACGTGTTGTTATTCCTTTACATATCATCCATAATCCAAGCTACAGGAACTTAGGCGGCGGCATGAAGAATTGGATATCCCCGTTCATAGTGCTCCCAAGGGACCCTAAGAATTTGGCATTAGTATAAGCTGGTTTGACACTTAATTACAAGGAATAAGAAAACGAACTGGATACTAAATCCATCGAGATAGTGATTCAAGGGTTAGTAAGTTAAATTGGGGTCAATTTAGGATCAGACTATCATACTAAAATAATATAATTTAATTGAAAATGACACAATACAATAACATTAATAATCACTAATAACAAAATATAAAAAAATGCAACAATAGTTTGATTATAACAATAACAAAGTATAATAATATTGAGAATGTTTATTAATAATTATTGATGTTAAAATCATTAAAATTCATTCAAATCTTTAGTAATTGAGATATTAAGAGCTGAATGAGAAAAATAGAATTAATACCAACACAATCATTTAAACTGGTTCATCCTGATTTTGGGTTCATAGTAGTTCAATTTATAAACCATCCAGCACTCAAACCAAACCAGACCACTACCTAGTTTATCAATTTTTTAGTTGAACCGACCGATTGGGTCTTTTTTTTTTTTCCTTGCTCATTTAACATTAGGATGATTGGTAATATAATCTAATAATTTATTTACGTTATTTGGACTTCTAAATTCATAATGAAATATGAGTTTTAACAATTGAACAGTATGATTTGTGAAAGCACACATAGAAAATCCAACATTACAAGTATTGAAGGGATGCACATGACTTTATCACACGTCTGTAGGGAATTCTCTATTGTGAAGTGGATACCACAATATTCCTGTGAATATAGAATGTGAATGAATCTGACGGGATTCTCTTTCCTAATCCAAAAACTGCTTATAAACTATCTTAAATAAGTATTAAGTTTTGGGCATGGCCACTGCGAGATACCTATGGTCCGCCAGATCTTGACTTCAAGAACCACCCTCTTTCTTCGTTCGTACCTACCTCGTGCTTCCAGCCTAACTGCCATATTAACGCGAGCTTATTTTCTTTCACTTTGTAATTAAATAAACCTTTTTTTTATAATTTTTTTAATATAATTTCCTCCTTCAATTGATTTAAATATAAGAAAGTACGATCCCTTCGATTTCATCATCCCTGCCCTGACTCTAGATAATTTAAGTCCCTCACAAAGCCTGCCTAATATACCCCTCGTTCGTGGGTTCAGCTGGCGAAGGGGTCAGACTCTCTCACCAAAGGGAGGGGGTTCGATCCTGGAGAGTACTACTTTGTTGTGGCTCCAGTCGCGGCGTTGAGGGAGGCATCTCCACAAGCGTAGTGAAACTGGGTGATTCCTACCTTTGGGCCAGAAAAAAAGGGCTTGCTTGTCATGCTCCCGTGCCCATAGAGACAGGCCCCAGTGGATCAAGCGTTAGGGGCCTTGCCCTTGGATCGTGGGTGAGCCCGACCCCTTTCCTAAAATTTTTCAATCAAAAAAAAAAAAGCCTGCCTAATATAAATATTCTCTTCTTCTGGGAGAGATTCTATAAAAGCTGGCTCCGCTTATGTTTTTGAAGGCTTATATAAATATTCTGAAGATTTTGTCACGTATAGGTATTCTCATATCAAAGATAATACTACCTTCGGTCCTTAATATAAGATTTTGCTTAATTTTTATTTTGGTCCTAAATATAAGATCCCAATTCACTTTGTCTCTCATATTTATATATTTTTTCCAAAGTAGTCCTTCTAACAATGATAGTTTTAGTCAATCCATTTGATTAATAAGGATATTTTAGGAAAGACAACCCCTATTTAGGACAAATAACTAGTTCAATTTACTTTCTTAATCTCCTCAAACTGATCAACTGGTTCTTATAATTAGGACCGGAGGTAGTATAATTATATTTGAGATACTATGAGATATCTTAAATGGTATGATAGCAAACGCAATTTGATTGACAAGGTTATAAACTTAGGTTGTTTGGCCCGCAGAGAGGGCTGGAACTCGGAAATGAAGATAATGGCGTCATTATCACCATTACAAGTGATGATTGAAAACTCCTTCGATGTCGTATCATAAATGATTTGTTTATTAATTAAAAAGGATAAGCCCAGCTCTCTGTTTTGTTGCTCAACAACTCCTGATCGCCGTCAGAAACGGATCGACACATGTACACAAACATCAGGATTATCTTAAGATACGTATCATTTAATTATTTTAGAAAATCATTCCAAGTTAAACGTCTTTAAGTCATCTCTCGTAAGGATTTTTGACTGCCCCAAAAGAAATTCTAGAGCCAACATCATTGAAATTAAATAAAACACATTTCACTCTTGTAAATTAAAAACAGAGGCCTACTCTGCTTTTCGAAGGATTATCTTTTAATTTTTATCCTCTATTTAATGTTACATTATTTTAAAAGCCTAATTACTTTAAAAACTTAAATTCTGAGTGTTATTGAGCTGACAAAAATTATGAGTATTATTAAAAATGAGTAACAAAATCTGAATTCGAACGTATATTTAGTAACAAAATATTCATAAAAAAAAAGTAACAAACTAAAAATTTAAATAAGGATTTATAAATAAGTAGGTAGATACTAGATCGTATATGTGTGTGTATATATACACAATTACTTTTATGTATCCTAATTTAAGACTTTGAGTGATGTATATTTCTATAATTTTATTTATAAGACATTTTCAATATTACTCCTATTTAATGTATATATATACACACCCGCAGAAAATAATAACCTATAGATCAACAAATGGGGAATAAAATTATACACTTACAAGTTATATAACAAATTTAATGAGATCACTTGTATTTTTGCTATGCGGTAATTAAATTGAGTTACGTTCAAATATTATCAAGTCCAATTAAAAACAACCCTTTCGGTAAAAAAATAAAAAATAAAAAAAACTCTTAAATGTGTTTTTTTGTAATCACACCGACTCAAGTTCAAGAGATCATACTCAATCGGCAAGAGCCAGTCATGAGCTCATTTGTATTAAGGAGTGAAAAACATATTTTTTTTCTTTCACTCTCTTGTGAATAATATTACAAGTACCTAGTTTGATTTTTAATTTGATTCTAAATATAAAATCTCAATTCACTTTATTTTTATATTTATCTATTTTTTCAAAGTAGTTCCTGAGTTGGTTATTTATAATAATTATATATTGTCTTTCCTTAAATACTTTTTTTATTAATCATGTATTAACTAAAACTATTATTTAACTGAATATGTAATATATGCAACTATTAGAAGAACTATTTTGAAAAAATAGATAAATATAAAACATAGAATAAATTAGAGTTTTATATTTAATCAAATTAAAAATTAAACTAACTATCATGTTAAGTAATGAAAGTCTTACTACCTCCGGTCCTTAATATAAGACCTTGTTTGACTTTTATTTTGGTCTTAAATATAAGACCTCAATCCACTTTGTCTCTCATATTTCTCTATTTTTTTCTAAGGTAGTTCTTTTAACAATGGTAATTCTGACAAATATACTTGATTATAAAAAATATTTTAAAAAAGATAATATCTATTTATTACAAATAGCTAACTTAACTTATTTTTTTAATCTTCTTAAATTAATTAACTAATGCTTATAATTAGAACGAGAGATAGTATCAATAGGTAGTATTATAATAGTATGACCAATATAGGACAATAGGAAGGCGGGTGATCAAGGGATAGGTGCTGCACTGACTTTTTTGTTTTGTTTTTCTGTCTCGCCCTTCAACACAGGAATCTGTATATTATATAAAATTCCCAAGTTTCCCACAAATGAGCAACTGATTAATTAAAACTTAACTGTTGGCCAAAAAAAAACTAAAACTTAATAGGCGAGCAGTAAATATTCAAATTATTTGGGATTAAAAGAGGAAAAAAGAGGACCATTTAGAGTCTGCCAATCGTGAAATTTGTGAGCGCCCACATTATTCAGATTGATAAATATTCAATTCTAGAAAATCACATCGACCTCATCTCATTCGTCACAAGTCATGTGGTCAGCCCCTCCTCCCTTTGTTATTCTTCTTTCCCAAGCCATCAAGTTTTAATCAAGTTTGGACTTCAAAACGCCTCCTTCTTTTAGAACCCTCCAGAGATTAGACCCTCCTTCTCAATTTTCAACTCTAACCTCTCCACATCTCCCTATTAAAGCCCCACTCTTCGTCTTCTCTTTTTGCCTCATCAGCGCCGTCCCCTGCACATATCCCTCAAAAATTTTCCCTCCCTTTCTCGGGAAAAGAGATAGACCCCCCACCAACCCCCAACACGACAGCTTCAGTAGTGGTAGCAGAAATTAACGTTATCGCCCATGGGAACTCTGGTTGGCCATGTAGCTCCCGGTTTTGGCTTCCTGTTGATTGGTCTGTGGCATCTCTTCAACCACATCAAGCTTCATGCTGTTAATTCCGGGTCTTATGTTTCTCCTCCATGGTTTCCCGCCACTAAGCTCAAGTACCTTGAGCTTCTTCTCATCATGGCGGGCTCTCTGGCCTCCATATCCATGGAGCTCTTTATAGGACCCGACAAACACCAACCCTTCGACTCCGACGGGACAATTCCGTCCAACCATCTCCATAATTTCGAGCACTCTTCCATCTCCATGACATTCTTCGTCTACGCCGCCTTCGCCGTCGTTCTCGACCGAACCGCCTTGCCGGAGAAGACCAAACTCGGGCTGACTCAGCTTCTCGGCGCCATCGCTTTCGCGCAGCAGCTTCTCCTCTTTCACCTTCACTCCGCCGACCACATGGGACCGGAAGGTCAGTACCACCTTCTGTTACAGCTCGTGATACTCGTCTCTTTGTCCACCACCCTCATCGGAATCGCCATCCCGAAGAGCTTCCTGGTCAGCTTCGTACGATCTGTGAGTATATTTTTCCAAGGCGTGTGGCTCATCGCCATGGGCTTCATGCTCTGGACTCCTGGGTTGATACCCAAAGGGTGTTTCATGAACCAGGAGGAAGGCCACCAGGTGGTGAGATGCTCGGACGACGAGGCTCTTCATCGAGCAAAGTCTCTGGTTAACATTGAATTCAGCTGGTACTTGATTGGGATAACAGTATTCGCCATGTCTCTGTACTTAATTATGGTCAAAGTTTATGGTGAAAAGCCTCAGTATTTCACGCTTCGGGGAGATGATGATGAAGAAGAAGGAGGAGGAGAAGACCGGAGCGAGGGGTCAAACGACGACGTTGAGTCGCAAAAGAAAAGCGCACTTGAAAACGCCCAAAGCTTTATTCATATGGGGAAAGCCTTTCCAACGGTAGAAATGGAGAGGTAGGGGGAGGAAGAAAATGTTATTTTCCCAAAAAAAAAAAAAGAGAGAGAGTGGGCCGTACATGTGTAATTAGGTGAAAGTGGTGGGGTCCACATGGGATTATTGTGGTGATTAAATCATTTATGAAGCCAGCGATTAAGACGTGTGGCTGAGCAAACCGGTGCATGGTGGTAGTTTCATACTTTCATAGGTTTTTCATTTATTGCTTGCTTTGAATCCTCTCGCTTGTCTTTATTTTTGGTGTCTCAGGCTGTGAATTGAGTTGGCTTTGTACAGTGAACTGAAAAAGTAATGTTTTCTTTAATGCGCTATTACTGAACTGCTTTTCTGTCATTAAGTGCTTTGTTTGAGTTTTGCAATTTGAATAATTTCTTGCTCAAAACACTTGTGATTGTTACTCCTCTGATCTTATTTATAGAACACTTTTAACATGTTTTATACAGACAAAAAAAATCTTAAACTGCATTAATTTTTTATTAAAATATAACAACTTTTTAATTTTACCCTATTGAATGTATATATACTTTTTAAAAAAATAACTATCTACACTATAATTGTAAATGAAGGACAACAGAGTACATTTATAGTAAAAATTTAATGAAATAACTTATAAATAGGACTAAAAAAGATTTTCTCTCTCTATCCTATAAATAGGACCAAATGAGTATATATATATATAAGCAGGTTTGACATATATTCATTAATCCAGAATGTTTTATCATTTTGAATCAAATAAATGAAAACATCTTTGTATCAAACTCCCCTAAATTGTTTTTGTTTAGGCTGTTAATATCTGTAGTTCTAATTAAAAGACAAAAGTAAATGAAATGAGAGGAAAAAATCTCTATTGATTTTCATTTTTCATAGACAATATGGCTTTAGAAAGAAGCTTCGTTTCTGAGTTTATTGACCTTGTCCACACACGCACCCCTTAATATAAAGTGTCTGTTTCACTCATACTTATCTAGCTCTAAACTGATAGAATTAGGCATATTTGGTCATTCAAATTCTATCAGATGGTTCAAAAGCAACTTTTTAATTATAATTTTACGAGATAAATATGTGAAGAGAATTTTATCTCGACTTACCTAAAAATTCTTATAAACACTTAATAAAGCACAAATATAAGCATCGCCTAACTTGATTAATGATTTTTTTTCCCTTTATCCTTCAAAACTTGATTGATGATCATGGCTGCTAAGCCACATGTTCCTTGTTTTATTGCTTAAAATAATACTCCTCCGGTCCTTAATATAGGACCCAATTTTTGAGTTGGTTTTGGTCCTAAATATAAGACCCATTTATCATATTTATCAATTTTCTCTAAATTACCTCTATAGATACTCTCTCAACCATAATCAAGTAGAAGAGGGAGATGGGGTATTAAGAAAGATTATTATGGTGTTTTAGAAAAAATGTGTCACTTTTCTTATAATTAACTAACTTACCTAACTTCTTTAATCTAATCAAATTAGTTAAATGGGTCTTATATTAAGGACCGGAGGAGTATTAAACATCAGATTGGGTTCCTTATCATTTCAATTGGTACGAGGAGTTTGCGTGTCGGGGTGGGAGAGCCAACAAAACAAACTATACACAAATACATAATTTTTCATTTGTAATTTTGAATTTTAAATTATTATATTAAAAAAAAGATAGGGTTGTGTGCAACGCACATGAAGCCCCCTGTAATTTAATTCCAGTCAGAATGCGTCGCCTTTAAAATATTGTCCTCATATCTCAATCCTCTTATAATTTTGAATTAGAATTAGATTAACTGGCTTCGAGTATTTGTATTATTTATTTTATGAGTTTAAGCAAATATGTATTCAAATTTGATTTTTCAATATTGAGTGATGCTTAACTTAATAATTTTGACATTTTACTCCTAAGTAGGCCATGGCCGCCAAGCTGCTGTCTTTTTCTTTTTCTTTTTGTTGGAATGGATTTTTCTTTTTTCTAGTTATGTTAAATCAAACAGTACTTTTTGCTTACAAAGACATTATTCCACCTCAATGATGTGCTATAAAGAACAGTAAAACTTGAAAATATAATGAAACTTATAGCATTAAATTAAGTATTTTTAATGTCAAATTCTCAATGAATCAAGTCAAAAGTATTTTATTTAACATAAAAAATAAAAATATTAACCCTAATATATGAATAAAATTGACTCTACTCATATTAGCTTAGGGCTTATGGTGCACCGATGCTTGCTCATGAATAAAATATTGTGTTTTTTTTTAATAAGAAAAATAGAACTTACATAAAAATTGCAAGAGAGAACGATATTGTTTTTGGCAATCGTGCCTTGTACTCAATAGTCTGCACGAATGCCATACGCAACGGAAAACGACATGGGGATAATAGCAAGAAAAAAGGCAAACAAGTAAGTACAATATATTATTCCCTCCGTTATTTATTATAAGATACATTTAATATTTATGGCATGTTTCTATATATAAGAGACACTTAAAAGTTGTCTCTATTTTTTTGTGTTGATTTCTTATTTTACCTATATTTATTGTCTCCAACTCACACTCTCTCACCTTCCCACTTCTCTTTCATTTAATAATTTACCTTTGTTCTCTCTCATGCTTTCTCTTCTTATTAATGAGGGCATTTTTGGGAAAAAATTATACTTTTTACACATTCATTGTTCTTAATTAATTTTAACTATTTTTTTTATTAACGTAATTCGGTTATTCATCTCTTATAATAAGAAACGAAAGGAATAATGTATTAAGATTCTGTTGCGTTAAAATCTTCATGGCCGAAATAATTTTAAAATTAGTAAGTATATATATAATCAAAAGTCATTTCATATAAGTATTTTTTTTAAAAAAATGTAATGTCGAAGGATTAGTTCATTATCACCAAATTTTTTTTAAAAAAAAGAAAAAGGATTAGTTCACTGAAAAAGTCAAAAGGGGAAGGCGATGAGAAAAACGACAAGGATGATGAGGCGTTTGAATGTAATATTTGGTGTTTCCACTTTCCACTATAAAATATAAACGATAGGGAGGGAATCTGAAAATATAATTAGTAAAAGAATTTTATTGCTTTCTCTTGTTTTACTTGGCTGCATTTAAATTAGGTTAGTTCTCGTGTTTTTTTAGTTGTGGTAAGGAGTGAGCAAAATTGAATTGAAATAAAAAATCAATTCGAATAAAATTCATTTCGATTTTTCAATTCCTTTTTTATTTTGGATATGGCTTCTGTTTAAGGAGTATATATTTAGAGTTTGGTTTTTCGTTAGGTTATTAGAAAAGAAAAGTAAATAACAGTTAAAATCCAAATTAATGGCAGAACATTAGGCTTCCTGTGGTTCTGTAACTACAAAAAAAGTTACAGCAGGAAAAATAATATTTTCCCATTTGTATTTTTTGGGAAACATAGTCATACTATTACGAAAAAATTTCAAGAAAAGAAAATAATATTGTTCCTGCCCAAGTCCAATCCAATATTCTTTTTTTTTTTTTCAGGGAGCTTCTCAAAAATTGATAAAATCGAAAAATCGACCTGAAATAATTCATCAGGTGATTCGGTTCAATTATTTTCTTCTTTCCGATTTTAGTTTGATGTTAAAAACATAATTTATTTTTACCCTGCTTAGTTACAGTGAGATAAACTCAAACGACCAAGTTTAACCAACAGTATTCATATCAAATTTTTTATATTTATTAATTTTTTAAACCACACTTTGACCCTGTATCCTAAAAATAGGACACCTGATTATATATGATTAGAATTTAAAATTTTTGACATAAATATTTTCCAAATTTAATATAAAGGATAGTGAGATAAATTCATTTATGGAGGCTACAACCTGCTGAGGTGTATAACATGTTGGTGTTGCATTGTGGGTGTGCCCCCCTCGCGCCATCATGTTTTGTCATTTCCACAAAATATCTGATGCGGCCCACATCATAGCCGTAACTAAATTAATATTTGTCTGTTTTTTAACTTTATAATACCTAATTGAGGATATTGCGACATTACATGTTCTGATGTTCGTCGCACTCTGTGTATTCTTTTCATTATTTAAATTTAAAAGTTAAGTGAAACAATGGAAAAAACACGTAAACTAATAAGATGCCCAAAATATATATACTTATCCCTGATCAGTGTGTGCGCTTTTTTGAATAATGAATTTGTCATGAATATTAATATTAATATATATATTTGTGAATTATCTTCAGCATGCAGGCGTGTGTTCTTTCGGCCTTGCACGCATGTGTTTTTATCAGTCGAATGGTATTTCAGTGATTGTAATATTGTTTTTGTTTAGTTAAAAGGTGGAAAATTAAAATAGATTGGTGTACATAATTTACCAAATAAAATCGGGTGCTGGTTGTTACATATATTACGTTTCCCACTCTCTTTGACCGGAAAAAGTTTAACGTAAATGATAATTATTGACTGAAAGCAAGGTAACTTCAAAATGTGATATGGAATATTGTTTGGTTAAATTAATACTATCTCCGGTCCTTAATATAAGATATTGCTTGATTTTTATTTTAGTTCTAAATATAATACTGTAATCTCTTTTATTTCTCATATTTATGTATTTTTTTTCAATGTAGTTATTCTAATAATGGTAGTTTTAGCTAATATACTTGACTAGTAAGGATATTTTAGAAAAAAAAACACATATTTATCACAAATAACTAACTTAATTTATTTTCTTAATCTACTCAAATTAATCAACTAGTTCTTATATTTAGAACTGTAGGTAGTATTACATTAATACACAGGAGGGTAAAGGAATAAATATAATGAATAAGAGGAGGAGAAGACAATGAAGGAAATTTCTGTGTATGTAACATGAGAACAGCCTGAACGCACATAATTTACCAAATAAAATCAGGTACCAGTCGTTACATATATTACATTTCCCATTCTCTTTGACCCGATAAAGTTGAACGTAAATGATAATTATTGATTGAAAGCAAGGTAACCACAAAATGTGATATGAAATATTGTTTGGTTAAACTAATACTACCTCCTATCTTTAATATAAGAACTA